CTGACAGGACAGCTTTTGCATGAGGGAGTTTATTTTTCAGGCTAGGTGCTCCAGTGTGGCTGCTTTGGGGTAGATACCATGCCTCCAGTGGGACCACAGTCCTTCCTCATGATGGTCGTGCTGGTGACCTGTCTGATGTGGTGGATGTGAGGCGCAGAAACCAGTGGGGAGATTTTCTTCTGAAAAGTGCTGGAAACATTCCCAGGACTTCTCTTTTGAGCCAATTTGTCGTTGTTTCTCACTAGACTGGTAGTGGCTCTGAGGTACTCCTGAGCACCTGTTGCACTGCTGTGGGATGACATCTGTGTGCTCAATAAACACTTTCCTGGCCACCATCTTGGAAATCCACCTTCTCTGGAGGCACTGGGTTGCACTTCCACAGGCAGGAAGGAGTTCAGGGAGGTTTACCATGCCCTTAGTCCCTTTTCTGCATCAAAAACCTTGCTGCTTCTGCAGTCCTGAGCCAGGGTAGATGAACATTGTCATGCCACACGGCGGAGATGGGGAGCTGTGGGTCCCCATAACCTAATTAAGAAGTCTTTTTAATAGGAAAACATTTAAGATATTCCCCAGAACATGTTTTGAGCTGCTATCAAATTTCCTCTTCCTCCTCCACCACCAGCAACAGCTGGATTGACCTTTCTGAAGTTACAGAGCTGTGATGAGGTCTTTTCCTCGATTCTTTGCATTTCATGGGGTGAGACTGTCAGGACACACCACGACTATGCCAAATCCTCAAAACCCAGTTTTTTAAGTTTTTGTGATGATCTAGCAGATATGCTTCCTTTGGGAAGACCTCTTGCTCTTACTCCCAATGCATAACCTGGCTCATCTCTGTCCCAGGAACTTTCCCCTGTCAGCAGAGTGATTGACAGCTCATGGTTTTGTCAAATGAAGCTCTTCAGTTACTCAGAGTCCAGGGCACAATTTGGGGCAACCATGCGACCTGAAGCAGGGTACTCCCAGAAGCACAGAGGTGGCCAGGGCTATCTGTCAGCCCACATGGCAAAGCAGGCTGTTTCTCCACTGACAGCAGGGTTGAGTGTGTTCCTTCGTTATTGCAGCAAGGAGATAACATATCAGTAAACCTTTCTTCTCCCCACAGCTGGTCCAAAAATCACTGAGTCAAAAGGCGATACTGAACATGACTTTAAAGTGATGACTCAGACTGCATGTGCTCAGTGCTAGCTGGAATATTAACTCTTGGATTAGAGTGCACGAAGGAAATGGCGATGAAAGAGGAAAACTAAACATCCTGAGATGTTTGCCTGTTGGAAGCTGAGGGGGAGGGAAAATGTCGGATGTTGCCCCAGCCTTAAATTCCTACTGCAACACATGGGCAGCCACTTTCTGAGGGACATGATGGGTCCTGTCATGTTTGGGAAGAGCAAACTGTCAAAACCCTTCAGCTAAAGCATGCTTTAGCAGCTGGTGAATTTATGCACATTGCTACGTATCTAGGACTCAAAAGGAAAACCGATGGAAAAAGCTTGCTTTTAGTAAATAAAATTTTTAACAAATAAAAATACATTAATAAAATGTGCTTTACACATATTATACAATCCTGTATTCAAGTTCTTCTAGTAGAGTTTGGAAACCCTGGGGGCTGATTTTCCGTGAGGATTAGGAGTCACAGCCAGAGGGGAAGCAGCAGCCATCCCCCAAGCTGTGTTGAAGCAAAGAAGAAGGAAAAAGTCCTGTTTCCAAATTCCTCGTGCACTTGAGCTGATCACTGCAATCCTGGAAATGTCATTTTAGAGAGCTAGGCGCCATTCATATCATAAAATAAATGCACTGGGGAAAAAAAACCTATTATCTCCTTGTGCAGTAAAAATTATTGATTGGTTTCTTCTTATCTTGTGCAGTGCTTTGCTCATAGGGCTATAACAGCAATAATTTTCAAGCTGAACTTTTCAACTTGATACAGGTCTTGAGCTGGGAGACGTTCCTCTGGACACTGGGACACACAAGGGATCACAGGTAAGTTGCATGAGATTTCACTGGGATTTCGCAGAACTAATCCTTGCTTCCTTTAGTATTACTTTGGCAGTTTAACCAGCTGGAAAAAGAAAACTGTAGTTGCATATCATGCAGGTGTGTTTAAAGCTGGTTCTGTGATATCGATTATCTGGAGGGGTTGTGGTGCCATACGGCTGGCTGCCAGTGCCACGCTTGGAGAATAAAAAAGGGAGGCAGGAAACTTGTGATACTAAATTTATTGCTACTAGAAAATTTGCTAAGTGAAATTCAGCACCAATCATGAGTGCTCTAGCTTAAGCAAAGAAGCTGATAAGAAAAGTCATCTATAGCAAGTCTGGGTGACCACTTGGCTCTCTGGTGATGTTGTTTCTAGTTGCAACTTTTCCAAGCCCATAAATGCTCATATTGGCAGTTATTTTCTGCAGGTTCATTGTTTCCATTGTTTCCATTATTATGACCTCCGGGGAATAGCTTACAGGCATGAGCTTTACCAAGCCCCATGCCAGACCCACCATAAGGCAAATGTTACCTCCAGGAAAGCTGGGGGCTCTGCCTCACTCTTCCCTTTCTAACCCCGTGTCCATCCTTCCCCATCTCCACTCCTCCAAGAATCGGGCTCCAGCAGGGCGAATGCCAGAGCTGATGCAGGCTGCTCAGGGCTGTGTCCAGGCAAGTCAGGAGTATCCCAGAGGATGGAGATCCCACACTGCTCTAAACAAGGAACCAGTTGTTTTGGGGCAGATATGTGGTTTGGTCACAGGCAGAGAAACGAGATCTGTAGTAAGTTTTATCTACTAACATATCTCAGGACACATGGAAATGTCCAAAGCTATTTTAAAAACTTATTCTACCTTGTACAGATGCTTACAGGAAGGGCAAAAAGCATGTCTTTGCCACAAGTGCCACTTCCCACCAGGCAACACTGGAGCCGTTGACACGAATCTCAGGTGCCAGAGCAGGACAAATCAGAGGTCACCTGAGCTTTTATCAGAGGGGGAAATAGCATATTTTCCCATAACTGTATTTTGAATAATTTTTCTTGTTAATCTTTAACCCAAAGTAAACCTTTATCCAGTGAGGAAGAACAATATTCAAAAAACAGGCCCAAAGAGCTGTGCACGTGATAAAGAAAGCCAGTGTCTCTACATAGGTTTTTATCTTGGAAAGCAGTCACAACTACTATTTTTTCTAGCCATGAAAGAAGTGCACTTGGACATGTGAAAGGTTGTACTCTTCTCACGCTGAGATTCCTAAATTGACCTCCTAATTCCAAATTCCTAAATGGAACAATATTGTTTTCTGATGTGCTCTGAGCACATGAGCAGCAGAAAAGCTGTGAGATTTCAGGCCACATCATCTCCCTCAGCCACTCAGTGAACATAGGATCTAGTGGAAGGTTGTGGGGTTTATTTAAAAGATTTCTTCAAAAGAGTGAGCAAAGTATCCTGGGAAATGTGGGACTGGTAATTCAGCTGCTCACTGTCTTATTGGGCCTCGTGAGAGGAGTGATCGCTGCTCGCAGGAGATAGATTTTTGCTGTCTTGAGCAGATTGAAAAATAAATCCCCACTTCCCATCCTTATCGCTGCTCCTGCCTGCTCTGACACTGGGATGTGGGACAGAAACCATCGCCAGCTCTTTGAGGGTGCAATGTACTGCTCTGGGTGGGATGTGCCAGACGTTGGGGCTTTCCTGTCTGCCTTCCCCATGTGCTCCTTTCTGCTTTCACAGTGCCCTCACCATGTGCGGGAAGAGGTCCAAGTGCTCCTTCTCCCGCCTGGAGGTGATCCTCATCATTTGCCTGGCATTGATGATAGCAGTGACCGTGGTGCTCCTCGTCCTCCACCTTCTCATCAAAGAGAGTAATGGCAAGTTGAGCTATTTCAGTCCTAACATTGCACCCTGCTTGAGTGTGTGTCCAGTGCAGTAATTTAAATTAAAGGGGTACAGGTAGAGGGTCACTGGGCCACTGCTGAACTGCTGAGCCTTCATAATCTTCTCTGTGTGTGGTCCTCTCGTGCAGCTGCAGCATAGTGCTGCTGCTGGCCTCTGCAGCAGGAGCATGGTGGTCAAACCCACTAACGAGCATCTCTCAAGGTGTAGATGCACAGTCTTGGGGACTGTGAGGCTGGCTGCAGGGATCCAGACAGCTTCCCTTCCCTCTCTCCACCTGGTGGATGGGGTCCTGAGAGCCCCTTGCTCCCCACACCACACCAAGGGGCTTCACAGCTGTTGCAATCCCACCGCAGCCCATTTACACCTCCAACCCCATCACCAGGTGTGGGGCAGGCAGGTGTCGGGAGCTGCCCGTAGTTAACTCATAATTCACTTCTAATGTACCCCGTGCTTGTCCTCTGGAGAGATAAAATCTCATATGGAGAGAAAATATTTTCGAAGCTTTAGGTGTTTCCGTGTTGACAGGAGTCCTCTCCCAGAGCTGGGGGTCTCCCCTGTCCCGAGTAGGGTGACACCCGACATGTCAGCAATGGGACCTTCCAATTTCTAGATTTTGGATGTAGTTCACACTTTCTTCATGTCTCTGGGTTGTAGCACGTAAGAGTTTTGCACAAATGATTCCTCTCTGTGTCATAGCTCATGGAGGAACAGTAGTTTTAATGGGTAGACCTGTTCACTCATGCCATTAAAAATGAGAGAAATGCACTGCAGTCAGTCTGTGGCCAGTGTGAGTGTTTCACTTCTCCTCTAAGTGACAGCCTAGGAAAGTCCAGACTGGGAAGACCAAGCAGCCCCTTATCCCGATGACCTGCCTCAAGCAGCAGCAGCTGGCTGGGGAAGATTGTGAGAACAAATTAAGCACTTATAGAAGTATTTTCCCACAGTGTTATCTCAGCCTCCAGCGATTTGTGGCTCGGGGATTTCCTGAGATACAGATAACTTTTTTTTTTTTTTTAATTTAATAGACCTCAATTGGTTTTCTTCCATGAGTTTGTCCAGGCACTTCTTTCACCCTGTAGAAGGACTTCTGCACCTTCATGATGGCTGGGATGAGACATGACCTCCTTTGGGAGTCCTTTTCCTCACCGCTTGCCTGGAAGTCATTGCCCAGAGCTGCTTTTCCCTTCTTTGGCTCTGCTGAGATTTTTTTTGAGCCGAGGGCACCAGTGCTGGACAGGGGACATGTTGGAGGCACCAGCATGGACGGATGTGCCCTTCTTTCTTCTCTAGTCCTTTTCCAGTAGCTCCTGACATGCCATCCCCTTTTTCTCACTGCTTCTGAGCTGAATTTTTTGTGTGAAAATAGTTCTTACACTCTTGGATCTCTTTCCTGCATGGCAGTGATGGGCTTGGAGAGCTGAAGTGGTGAAGCTAGGCTTGTTTCCCCCTCGCTGTGAGTTGTGACACATTTTGCGGAGTCCAGAGAACCTGTCTTGTGAGCTGCCTCTGCAGTTCTTCATGCCTGGTCCACCCTTTACTACCCCAAACACCTTAACAGACTCAGCACACTTTGACCACATTGACAACCCATCAGAACCTCACAAAGACAGTATCAGCTTGATCCCTTTCTCCACAGGCCTGATGAGTCCTCTGGGGATGGCAAGGAGGTTTAAGGCATGCAATCTCTTTAAAAAGGCTGGGTTGCCTCTTCTATCCCTAATTCTGCTTACTCATGTGCCCTCTAATCTACTATTTATTCCTATTATAGATCCCAGCGAAGTAACAGCAAACTATTTACTGGGTGTAGGTCGAGCTGACTGCACGGGACCTGTGGCAGAAATCCCTCTGGTAAGTTGGGGGAATTGAACACAGGGTTGGCGAAATACTGATTTTCATCACCTCTGAGTATTTTTTGCCAGACTTGTGGTTTAGAGCCTCTGCCTTGCCAAATGGTTGTTGTCTTCAAACATCAGGTGGAACTTCTTTGAGGCTTTGAGCAACCTGGTCTAGTGGAAGGTGTCCCTGCCCATGGCAGGGGGGGGTTGGAACTAGATGATCTTTAAGGTCCCTTCCAGCCCAAACCATTCTGTGATTCTATGATTCTTGCAATCACAGGGCAAGAGAGTTGCAGCTCTGAGTGATCATATGTTGAATGAGTCCTCTGACCCTACTTAGAAAAATACATGCAAATGACATCACTCAATATTTTAGCTGTGCAGGCTTAATGGACCTCTTCCCTTCCAGATGGGATATGCCAATCCAGACCAGGTGGGCGGTGGGCTTCTCATGCGCCTCTACAGCCGAGCCTTCATCGTGGCAGACCTGGATGACTCCAGGCGAGTAGTGTTTGTCAGCGCTGACATAGGAATGGTGTCTCAGAGACTGAGGCTGGAGGTATGTGGCTGGAAATGAATGATTGGCACAGTTTGGGTTGTTGCTTGTATTAGCATTAAGGTTGTAGTCATTGCTAAATAATATCGAGCATGCTGCACATTGATCATTTGCTTTGGGATTGCCTTGCAGCACAATCTTGGAGAGATGTTGTGTCTGCTGAAGAATAGCTTTTGATTCCTCAGCAAATGAGGCTGGACTTTGACCATGCTTTTCTTAGAGGAAAAATTATCATGAATACATTTGAATCACGAATACATTATCACGGTGCCTGTGATATTAAAATGAAAATTATCTCCAGCACCACAGAGGAGCAAGGGAGATGCTAGAGAACTGAGGACTCCTGGGATGATCTGGGCTTCACTGCAAGCTGGCCATAGAGGTCTTCACTTACCAGATTTTATTATTTTAAGGCTCTTGACAAGTCAACAGCTATAACCTACTTGTTATGACACCAGTAGGGGGTATCAGGCAGAAGGAGAAAAGTGAGGAGGAAGATAAACGGTTGGGATTTTTGCAAGGGCTGATACAAATCTCTGTAGCCTTTGGGCATGAAAAAGTGTTTTTTAGGACCACCATCTTCCTCTTAGGTGCTCAAGAAACTGAAGAACAAGTACGGCGAGCTGTACCGACAGGACAACGTCATCCTCAGTGGCACCCACACGCACTCGGGGCCTGGTGGCTACTTCCAGTACACCCTCTTCTGGATCACTAGCAAAGGGCTAATCAGACCGTCCCTCAACGCTATTGTGAATGGCATCATAAGGGTTGGTGTCATTCAGTCTGTTGACATAAGAGCCCATAAATGCAGAAAAGCTGGGGTGAGACATGTTTGTGACTAAAGGAGCTCTTGTGATGTTCGTGGTAGCACCTCTGAATGTCACAGTCTTAAAACACAAGTGGAGGTGGGTTTATGCTTATCAGTGAAATCAGATCAAAAGACAGAAGCCTTGAAGTCTTTCTTTAGAAAGAAACAGTGGTAGGTGGTTTCAAAATATCATAATTTTCTAGAATTTTAGACTACTTACAAAAAAAAAAAAAGCAGCTCCCAAATTCCCAAGAAAGGGTTGGGGACAGGCAGGGAGGGGAAGAGAGTTTTTCCAGATAATCTCGCATGTGCCTTAAATGCATGGACTATTATTCCCTGTCTTCCTGCTTTTCAGAGCATTGATATAGCACATCAGAACATGAAGAGAGGAAGGCTTTTAATAAACAGAGGCACTGTAGAAAACAGCCAGATCAACCGAAGCCCTTTCTCCTATCTTGAGAATCCAGAGTCTGAACGAAGCAGGTAAAAGCTCCCCAAGCAGGGGAGAAACAGAGCCCTGAAGAGGAACCTTCAGTTGGGACCACGACTCAGCTGCCTTGCAGCTGCTGTTTCTGATCATTTGTGGGAGGGTTGAAAATGCGGAGCCAAGACCATGGCAGAATGACACTTGCCATCGTGGGTGCTAGGGTGTGTGCATCCCCAAAACGTGCAAGACTGGGCTTGAAAGTTGTGGTTGCCCCCTCCAAGCATGTGAGGCATTGGTCAAGGATGTGACCTTATGCTCTGTTCAAAAAAATAAAATAAAATAAAATAAATTCTTTAGTAGACATTAGCATTTGAGTAAGACGGCATTAAAGTGCCATTCTTGGTGCATGAATTTGTATTTGGAGAGGGCTCCTCTCTCCGTCCTCTGAAGAAGCAGCATCTGAGGTCAGCAGCAACCATAACTTTTCTCTTACCTTCACAGCTACTTTCATAGCTCTGAGGTGTCCCTGTGCTCTGGTAATATCTGTAATACCCTCTTCATTTCCTTGCTCAACCTAGTAGAGATTTAACATCACTGAGCAATGCAGAGCACAACCACCGCTCTGGTGCTAATGGGATTTCCCTGCTTTATTTTCATCCAGGTATTCATCCAATGTGGATAAAGAAATGGTGGTGCTGAAGATGGTAGACGAGAATGGGCAGGAGCTAGGCCTTATCAGGTACTGACCACTGAAGTAATATGTTTTTCTCCAGATCCTCATAAACCACAGCTCTGTAGCAGTTCTGTCTTTCTGCACAAGCTCACCTTCCCAACACTGACCCTTGCGCATAGAGCATTGCTCCCAGCTAGTCACCAGAGGGTCTCTAAAGGAAGAATGAGTCCATGAGTGCATAAACCAGGTCAGCATCCCTCATCTGCTCTGGGAGACAAAGCAGCACCTGGCCCACCTACAGCTGGGCACATCTCCTGGCATGACCCAAAGGCATGTGGGTGAGATGATTGTAGCTGGTCTTCCCTTGTAGGGGTGCAGAAAAATCCCCTCTAGGGCTCTTGCTCTGCCCTCTGGCCCTGGCATCTTCAGGACCCTTTGGGTTTCTCTTTGTTATTTTCTTTAACACACCATGTTTTGTGGGAAGCATGCCATTCCCACAGGCAGCATTTACGAATCCTGTCCAATCAACAGATCCCTGGGGCAGTGTTTGGCCATGCGAAGTTCAGAGCTCAAGGCCAGACAAATGAAGTAACTTACAGCAACAAGGCTATAATTGCGTTTTCCGTGATTAGAAGTCACAAGCGAGAGTCTGATTGTGTTTATTCTTTTTTGTAAGAATAAAAGTGTTCCTTTTTTTCCCATTTTTTTTTTACATCATTGACTCCTCCTTGTTTCTTTGAAACAAGAAAACAAAAATCGGTCCAAAATATAAGTCTCTGCACCAAGAAAAGAGTCAGTTCAGGTCTGAAATAGCTCTTGGTGACCCTGATAATTATGGTGCCAAATTCTTGTGGCCTCAAGACCTGGACCATCACAGCCATAAGCCCTTCTGGTCAAGAAGGGAGAGGATGGGAATACCTCTGCCCTTGTTAATCCATCCATGCAGACCAACAGTCTGCATTAGTAGCCTCCCGAATAAAATTCCCAGAAGTCAATTGCAAACATACAGATTGAACAAGTCAATTATCAATATATAGACTGAACAATGGGTTTCCTATATGTGTCTTCTGACTCCTCTTCAGCTGGTTTGCTGTGCACCCGGTCAGCATGAACAACACAAACCGTCTTGTGAACAGTGACAACATGGGCTACGCATCTTACTTGTTTGAACAGGAGAAGAACAAGGGGATGCTTCCCGGAGAGGTGGGACTGTTTTCAGGCTACTGAAAATAGTGGCAAAAAAGAGTGCTGTAACAAGGAGGGGATGTTTCATGCTTTCTATGGGCCAAAACGAGTTCTTTCAAACAGTGAAACAGGACAGCAGGGTAACCAGAAAAAGGACAAAGATGAATGCTTTAATTTATTTACTTTCCTCCTCTAGAGAAGCGAAGTTGCTAGATGTACTCTTGACTTTCCAAACTACTAATCAGTGGCATTTATTTTCATTCAACTATTGGCAATACTAGAAAGACAGGTGTGGGATACTTGATCCAAAAGGATCAATATATTGCATCTGTAGTGTGACATCAATTCTGTGGTCAGCCCAACATCTTTGTTATGGCTTCCAGCCTGTTCTACTTCTGATTTTCGTTTATCCACAAGATTTGCCATCCTCAGAGTGCGAACATAGCTCCTTCAAAAACCGTTATTTCCCCTGAAATGTAAATATGGACATGAACCCATCTCACAGACGCATTGAGTCACTAGTTGATTAAGATGGTACCCTGTGTGTATCTTCAGAGTGTACCTTGAAACAGCTGCCCAATTCCTAGTCTTATACTCTGGGCAGAGGAACACATGCAGCTCATACCAAAGATGGAAACTAAAGGAAGTCTACCTAATTCCTGCTTGAAAAAATTTGTGTTTTTTTATAATGGATTATCCAAGACCTTTTAACAAGACTCGACTGTAGTGCATTGTTATGGGTGCAAGGTGGTGCAAACTGACATGCACACAAAGCTGAGAAGTGTTTGCAGGATTCAGTATTTAGCTGTATGGTTTGCTGGGCACATTGTGTCTAACAGTCTTACAAGAAAATGGCTTAAGAGCTGATAATGTATCAAAATATCTGGTATTGATGCATCCCATCTCTCAAAGAGGGGGAAAAAAAAAAAGACAGTGTCTGTGAGAGCTGAATTCAGCTGACAGTGTGTAACCTGCCTTACTTCTAACGAGTACTGCTCGATGTTAACTGCTGCAGTCAGATCCAATAGCTCTTACCCTGTAACTTAGTCACGATGAAAGCCTGGCAGAAAAAAAAATCCCGTGCAAGGTGCTACAATGATCCATTAACATCTGATCAGTAACAGGAGAAACTGGGGACATGGCAGGAAGAGCTGCCACTGAGATGGAAGAGGTAGATGAAGAAACACTGTTTGGATACCAAAGCAATGTCAATGTCCTCCTGAAATGGCAGTTGCATCCTGTGCATTCTATTCTCCCTCACTTTTCCTCTCCCTAACCCTTGGGACACTCCTAAATCGCCATTCCAGTCCTCCAGTTTCTTCAGAAGTGTTTACCAACATTGCACGCTCATCAGCTGGCTCTAATGCCATCTTTGACTGCAGGGAAAGCTGTAGGTGATGTTTGCAATCACTGCAAGGCACTAAGATCCATCTGACCACATCTGGTTTTGGCAGGGCTCTTTTGTTGCTGCCTTTGCATCCTCCAACTTGGGAGATGTGTCACCCAACACTAAAGGCCCATTCTGCGTAAACACGGGGGAGTCATGCAATAACCCACAGAGCACCTGTCCCGTGGGGGGGGTAAGTATGTCTTACGTGACCTACATTAGCTTCTGATAAGGAGAAAACTCAAGGTAGAGCAGCAAATACAGAGCCGTGTGGTGGACCATTGTGCGTGCAGAGGACATACACAGAAAAAAATTCACCTATTTTTGGACTATTCCGGATCTCTCTTTCAGGAACGTACTGTGTCTTGTCCTCATACATCCTGTTTCATGGTCATTCAGCCCAAACTTAAATTTACCTTGCTGCAAAGCTTAGTGTAGCAACCCACTGCCCAAATTTGAGATGGCTAGCAAGAAGCAATTAGTTCCCACAGTATGAAGAACACTTGTGAACTCATCCACTTTTCAGTGCCACATGTTCTCCATATTAACTGATCACTAGCATTTAAACAACTTTCTTAACAGGCAACGATGTGCATGGCCATGGGTCCTGGTAATGACATGTTTGACAGTACAAAAATTATAGGGCAAAACATCTACACGAAAGCGAAGGTAAGTGATATTTTGCTTTGCGAATGTGTGTGAATGCTGCTATGCACGTTCATTTAAGCAACATTCTTGCACCTGGTTTTGAGAGTGTTTGTAGATTTAAATTACTCTAAAGTCTGTACTTTTATGCTTGAGGACGAGTTTCCTGATTATTCGGAAAGCACACACTTTTATTTAGATACATCATTATAAGTGCTGCAATTTGAAAATGGTTTGGGTTTTTAATCTCAATATTCCTCATCAGAATTTAATGTGGATGTTGCCCCTTATAATTTCCCTACTCCCTCCCATGCATGCATCTCAGAGGTGTCATGATTGGAAAAATCACTCATGTTGAAGACTCCTAGAAGGGCTCAGAGACTTCACCACATACCACTTGTTGGCCACCTTTGGCATCACATTCCAAAACTAACATAAATGTAAGTTAAAAAGTGCCAGTTTAAACATCCACGAAAGATACTCATCTTGCCCTGCTTGACTTTGCATTTACTCAGCTGTTGTCCTCCACCCTATGGACTCCCTTACATTGCCTGTGTCCTTGGGCTTAAAAGTCACCTGAATTTACCAGTTCCCCTCTGCAGCCTCATGTAACACGAGAGTAGTCAGCAAGAGGACATTTTTTGGTAGCATTTCAGGGACAGCAGCTTGTAGGAACTGGAACAGGTCCAGCAGAGGAGTAAGATCAGAAGGCTTGGCGGTGGCGGTTTCCTTTTAATCGCTATTTCAGATGCTTGCCCTGAAGTCAATCCAGGCTGATCGTGACTTGCAAGTGAAAGATTGTCCCAGTCAGAGTGGCCCAGCATGTGTATCAAATGGCGAGGGAAAACATTGCTACCGTTTTTAACACTGTAGACTCTTGGCTTTCAAAGGCTGCATCCTGTATTCCATCCTGCAGTTACAGGAATGTTACTAAACCTGTATAACTTCTGGCAACACTTTCTATGTATCAATTCGATGCATGTGTTCCAGAAAACCGTTCACTGAAGTGCTGAATGGCTTAGCTGTCAGGTTAGTAAATGCATGGTAAAGTCCATGCATTTTGAAGCAATGAGTGCAACAAAGTGCATCTTTCTCATAGAAAACATTTCTTCTGGTTGGTTTAAGATGTGAGAAATGTCAAAAGGTTGCAACTAGGAATGAGAAGTTGCCATCCTTGTGGAATAGGTGCATGTTTCAGCTGTAAAAAGAAAAGCACACACAAAACTGCTGACCACAGAGCATCCTCCCTATGTTACTTGAGACAGAGAGAGCTTGCAGGACTTGGGACATGCAGGATGTAGAGATGGGGTGATAGAGACAAAGGAGCTTGGGAAATACACTCCTGCTTTAACACCTGGAAGAGGCCACTGGTGGGTGTCAACAGAATGAAGAAATAATTCATACAGCTTAATCTCAGAAGAGCTGGGTTCCTGATTTCTTCTTTCTCAAGGATTTCCACCTCATGTGTCCCTTAGGAGCTGTATGAAAAAGCTTCCCAGGAGGTCACAGGACCCCTCAGTTCAGCTCACCAGTGGGTCAACATGAGTGATGTCTTGGTGGAGCTCAATGCCACACACACGGTAAGAGCAGGAGCTCCCCGGGACACAGTCATAAAGAAGGAAGAAATGTTATATACTCACAGCAGGACTTGGCACGCTGAGGGGAACTGATTTTAAAATACCTCTTTTTCATTATTTTTCCCCTTCTGATTAAGGTCAAAACATGCAAACCAGCCTTAGGACATAGCTTTGCCGCTGGGACTATTGATGGAGTGGGGGCTTTCAACTTCACACAAGGTAATTTAGGGAGCAGATGTCAATATGGCTTTGTATAAACAGGGAGGACATGGGGCATCCCTCAAACAGATTCAAACCCCCAGAGTCGTTTAAGAACATCAACAGCTGGTTGAGCCACAGTCTCCAAAGGGATGCTTTTTAGGAGAGTGTGATCTTACACCCCGCTTTGCAAGTCTGTCTGTTTGTCAGAAAGCTTCTGGAGGAGGATAAGATCATGCTCTGAAGGAAAGAAAACACTGGATGGGGAGTGGGGAGAAGAAATATCTGGCTTTGGGGCAATGTTTCTCACTTGTTCTCATTATCTGACAGCTGCCAAGATGGAGTTCAGCTGTGCTAAAGCTTAGCTTTTCAAATCACCCCATAAAAGGGAGATAGTCAGAATCCACTGAAATATTACCCCACATAAGCAGGGAGGGGATAATAAATGAGTTTTCTGTCCAATAGCTGCTGGGGCAGCTGAAGGAATATTGTTTAAAAAGATGTGTCCCGCTCAAGGTTCAGTAGAAGGGGACCCATTCTGGGATGGAATCCGGGACCAGCTGCTGGGAAAGCCGTCCAATGAAACACAAGCCTGCCACAAACCCAAGCCAATCCTATTTAGCACCGGAGAGGTAAGGATACACTGGTGTGTGCCCTGGGAAGTGCAGAGATTGCTGGTCTGGGTTAGGTTTTGGTAGGGTACTGCAGACGATGTCTGTGGCACACCATACGGTGAAGAACAAGGAGGGAAGGAGACCTGCAAGGGCTTTGAAGGCATGAAAACAGAAAGCAAGGATAAGTGTTGTCATTACTTTGCATAACAATGAGAAAGGTGGAAGTTTTCCTCTTGCAGAGCATCTTTTCTGTATAACCCAGGAGGAGGGACCAGACCTGCTGCTCTCTTTAGGGTCAAAAAAACCCAACTGAAGATCCATCCTGGCCTAATTCTCTGCCTGTGAAACAATCCTGAGCAGGAGGCACAGGGAAAATGCACAAGGTCAGGGAAAGACAACAGTGTGTGGAGCTCAGTGTTGCCTCCTGGCAGTCTCTGGCTTCAGGACACAACCTGCTGGTGCTCAGTTCTTAATAGCACTGGTGGATTTTTCTTCCATCCTACCATTGGTTTCATACCTTAATCCATGAGAGGACTTTTTCTTTTTATCATGTGACAGACTGGTCCATGCAAAATGAAGTAACTTGTCCTGGCGCCTTTTGGAAGCTCTGGGGACTGTATCCACCTTCTCAGTGTTGTCTTCAAAGGTTTCTACTGGGCTTTGACTTCCTCTGGAAACATCCTGTTGCCTTCTCTGCTCTTCTGTCATGTTTATGCAAGTGTCTCATAGTTCTGTGAGCTCTAACACTGACTGATGCCAGACTTACTCATCCACACATAGAATCACACCAGGCTCAGGCTGGAGGTACCCTGGAGTGGGGTTCTTCAGCACAACCCTGCTCCTATCAGGACCAACACTGCAGCTAGAGCAGGTTGCTAAGGGCCATGTCCACAAGAGTTGAGGCAGTCAGCAAGGATGGAGATCCCCTACTGCTTGGATCCCCATCCCAGGGATACCCCACTTACAGAGGGAAGGGCTATTTCTTAGGGCCAGCCTCTGCAAAGCTGCTGCCCTGTTGGTCCCAGCCCATCCCCATGCTTATGGCTGATCCATCCTGGGCAGGACTTGGTGTTTGTTCTTACTTGAACTTTCCCAAAATCCTACTTACAACATTAAAAGAAAATTGACGCACCATTTTCCACCTGCTGTTCCCTTGACTGCACTGTAGTGCAGTGGGATCATGTCCAATGTCCTTTAGAGCACTTACAGGATGTCATCTGGATGAGGCAATTCATTGTTATTCCTTTCATCAGTCTCTTTAAAAGCTTTCCTAGTGTCACTTTGTGTTCAAACAGCTCCTCATCTCATCTCTCATAAAAAGAGGTCCCAGTGCAGAGCCTCCTCCCACCCCACCTCCTCTGTCCAGAATAGTGCTTCTGAGAGTAAATTACACTTTATTCTTACAACTTTATCATCTTTTGAGCATCCTTTTATCGATGGTCTGGCAGGCGTCCTGCTTCTGATGTGCTTTACAAGGTTCTGTCATTCACATTTTGCCTCCAGGAAATTGCTCCTCAAGCCTTTTTGGCTTGCTGGAGTGGAATTTTGCATTTCATTTGCTGGAGCCATGCAACCCTTGAGCTCTTGTTGTTCTTAATTTCCTTTTAACAGGATTCTTCATCTTTATCTACCTTATTTTTTTTAAGATGAGGTGCTGCAGTAGTGTGTGTTTCGGCTGTTGTGATGGTGTTGAGTCCAAGTATGATGTGGTCCCTGCTGAGGGGCAATTTGAAGTTAGAGCTGGATTGAGGGTTCCCTGAGCTTCACCATTTGGGTGACTTAGAAAATCTCCCTCTGTGTCACTGATGGTGTATTTAGTCAGCTGACAAAGAGGTGATTCTTTTCCATTGCCATTGGGCTCTCTGATTTCACTCATTCACTTTTGCTGTCTTGCTCAGATGATCAACCTTATTGGTCCTGACACTATCCTTTTCCCACGCAGGTGAGGGGTTTCTAAGTGCTACCCTGACATTATTTACTCACTTTGCTTTAAGCTATTCATCTGATAACACCTTTTTTTTTTTTTTTTTTTGCCTTACCCAGAGTATTTGCATGTGCCTTATCCATCTGTTGCTTGCTCTACATGTGAAGCTAAAACACTGCCTGTCTACAAAGTAAATTTATTTGCCTGATTTATGACTGTAGGAAGGAAAATACTTCAGCTATCTTTTTTTGCTACTATCCTACAACAGTCACATAATATTTTTTTTTGTCCTCAGATGACTTGGCCTCACCCATGGCACCCTGACATCGTGGATGTTCAGATCGCTGCCATGGGATCGCTGGCAATCGTTGCCGTTCCCGGGGAGCTCACGTATGTGTTTCTTCATTCTTGTTCTATGTATTTCAGCCAGCAGAGTCTCATTCAAACCACCTGTGATACTCCTGCATGCAGATAGAAAGGGGGTGTAGGCTAAAAATTGTCCCCAGTATATGATAGCTGTGCAGGCATTTACACCTATATGTCCACTGCATGTACTTTCTGCAGTGTCTCCTCTGGTTACCAGGGGTTTCCCATTTTCTCCTCTGTTCTGTAAATTAGCCATGAGAATGAATGAGATGCAAACAATCTTCCTAAATAGTCTAACCATTCATTGCAAAATGCAGTTTCAATGAAATTAAAGGAACTTGTCAACTTTGATTTTTCTTTTTCACACCAGAAACACCGCAATAATGAATTGCACTGACTGTTGATGGTACAATGGTGAAAATCTGAACAGGATGATTTATTTCTAGCACCCTTTTTTCTGCCCCACCCTGCCCTGGGGTGCCTTCAACCTCACCTGGCTGGGACGATGTATGTGAAATGTTTTGAGGTGGTTTGGTTGAGCTCATCGCAGAGAAGCCTTAAGGGATGCTGAGCAGCTCTGCAAGTGCTATGTGAATTTCTGGTGGCGTGTCCAACTAGCAATACCTACTTTAGCTCCCTGCATTTCTGAAGACTGATGTTGTTCCCTTAATGCCCTAGGACCATGTCTGGACGCAGGTTACGGGAAGCTGTTAAAAGAGTAAGTTGCTGAGGAAGATGTTTCTCCAGAGCATATACGGAATGTCACATTTCTTGATCCTTCTGGTTTTTCCCTTGTCTCCTTCCAGCTGGGGTCATGGGTCTCATGTCTCACAGGGATTTCCTTCTCAAAGTTGCATCAGATACATTTTGCATGTGCTTACTGACATGCAGGAGAAATTCATATCCTCCTCAAAAGAAGTAAACCAATTGAGTTTCAATCCATTAAGTCAACACGAGCTAATTCAACTGGGACCCAGGCATAACTCATGCTAGCAGGAGTTTTGTCTCTGGGATGGAGGGGTTTAGCTTAATCCTTAAAAGGATTTTGCATCATGAGAACAATTGGAAAAAAATGGCAAATGTATTTTTTCCGTTTTCCTAATTGATACATCATATTTCCAGCTGCAGCCTGAATACCATCTTAATCTCAGGCGCTGTCTCCACAACTCACTGAGCCTGTCTTACATAGTTATATTACCAAATTTTTTAGGAGTATACAGATATTGGCTTCAAAAAACCCATACTTTTATTGAATTTACTGGAATATGAGGTAATTTATCCTGTTTTTCTTTGGGAA